AGTTTCATGTCCCAACATCCATAAGGCATAGCAAAATCTAAGCCACTGTCCAAAACAAACCCATCTTCAGCATCAAATGAAGTCCTTCCAGAAGGATTTTCAATACGCTGGCAAACCAGTGCCGCCTTAAATTCAGCCACTTTCAAAGTCCACAAAACTATTCCAGAACCAGGAACAACAGATTGCAAAGTATAATCCGTCCTAGTTATCTCAAGCAAGAACTCAGGTGGATTCAACTGTACAGGATCCACAAGCTCATTATTCTTTGTACTTGCAACCTGCAGCCCGTCATCATAACTCGACACTAAATTAGAAGCATGATCATGTTCAGAGTAGCTTCGGAAAAGCCCTCCAGTTTTAGCATCAACTACATACATAGTGGTTCTCTTGTGTCCAAAGACAGATGCTCCATCCTTGGTCTTGATAGGGGTACTGGCAACATACTCTTCAATTGATTTCGATAGTCTCTGCAAGCATGAACAAAGTCACAAATATAATTTCTAGTAGACACACACGAACTAGACTCACGAATTGCAATTACAAGAAAGAAATCATAAATCATCACAAACCTAATATTTCTCAATCATGTGAGAGGAACAGGGAGTATAGAAAAAAGCAATGATATATTTGATAAGTTAAAGAACAATACCGTTTTACCCAAGTGAGGATCATTGACGATTAATTCCCAATCATCTCCGCATTCAACGAAACCGGTGAAGTTGTGGTTAGGGTTCTTGAGGGGAGCATGATAGGAATAGTAGATTGGAGATCCAGTTGAAAAAGACCAAATGACCCTTCCAGAATCACTGTCCACCAAATACATGGTGCCATCGAGGGCAGCGACGAGTGCGGTGGCCGGTTTAACTGATGGTGCAGAATAGAGAAGAGAGAGTTGGGATTGTGAGGTGGAAAAGCCAAGGAAGAAGAAGAAGAAGAAGACGAATAGGAAAAGGGAAAGAATTAGGGAGAACGGGTAGCCTGAAACAGAAAATTTCATCTGCGGTGCCTGAAAACAAGGTGACCGACCTCAACACAAAGTTTAGTTTTTTCCTTTTTTTTTTTTTTTTTTTTTTTCGTTTACCTGTTGAGATCGCCAACCCGTTTCTGTCAAACTCAGGCACACTAAAGCAAAAGATTACGCTCTAACAAAACATTGTCCATCAATGCTTTCCCACGTATGACTCCATTTCCTGGTGTCACCTAGTTTTAATTATTTCACACTTTACTTATTAAGACTACCTTCTATGCATAATGTTGTGCAATATGTTATTTTCTAAATTTATCATTACATTTTTGTTTTTTTTATTAATTACTAGCATAATTTACTCTTATAACAAGAGTTCAATTTCACATATTGATAAACTAAAATACGCATTAACTACTTCACACAGGATAATAACATTCAGCGTTTGTATATAACACAAAGGAAACAAAGAAACTGAATAGCGGTCATCATTTTTAAATTTTATTTTTTAAAATAATTTTTTTAATATAAATAGTGATCAATGGACAACTCTAGCATCTAAATAATAATAATAATAATAATAAATATTAATATAATATTAAATATTATTATTATTTAAGTAATATAATCAGATGTAGGTTAAACATAAATAAACCATTTTTATTTTAATATATATCATATTCTTATTTCTATTTTACTCATGTTATATATTGTTTATATTATTTTCATATTTTTTAAATATATAAATCATTTTTTAATTATATTTTTAATTATTTTATATTTTTATTCATATTAAAAAAATTTAAATAATAATAAATCACTTAAAAATAATCTTATATTTATAACTATATATAAAAATATTATATTTGTAATTATTTTTTGTTAAACAAATAATTTCAAAAAAATATTATAATTTATATATTTAAAAGATAATAAAAATAAAAAAATGAAAAAAAAAAAAATTAAATGATTTTTTTTAATTAATCATAGACAAACATGAATATTCTCTTAAACCAATCATCATATCTGTGAGTGAACCGGATTTTCCCAAACTCAACCGTGATTATTTAAGAAAATAAAAACTTATAATTTTAACATTAATTTTTCAATGTCTTTATTAATTCAGTCACAACTTTTAAACCTCTCTGGAATTAATTTCTACTTTCCCTGAAAATATTAAAAGAATTTATATCATTTCCTGAATTTATGCATCCGATAATAATTTTTTCCTATATAAAAAAAAAATGGGAGAGAAATTTTCTAAAGGAACTGAGATTTCCTCATTGGATTATTCTTTGTTTTTTTTTCTACTGCATTCTAACTTACAAACACCAGATTGTGATTTTTTTTTAATTAAAATATGTTTCCAGGAGTAAGAATTTAGAAATGAGCTTAAATAATATTATTATTGTTATTTACATTTTTTGTTCACGAACGTTGTAACTTTTTTGTTTTATAAATTATTTTAAAAATTTATTATTTCTTTTATTAACTTTTCTCATGTTCATATTATTGATTTTTTTTTCTAGTAATTATTTAAGACTTGTTAATTATTTAAAAAATTGACTTTTTTTTAAATTAAAAGAATTGATTATTATTTTCTTAAAATATTTTTTATTTTAAAAAATAAAAAAAATTGAAAAAAAAAATTAATGTTATGTTAACTATATTAATATTTTTCATTAATAATTGCATTAAATAATCTATTTATTACCAAATTATTAAAATTTGTTTTCCAATTCTTGCCTTTTTGTATAAAACAGTTTTCAAATTATAGTTAAAAAAATAAACTTACTTTTAAAATCATTTTTTCTATATCTTTAAAAGTATTTAAAAATAAATAAAACTAAATTAAACAGCGTTTTTATATTAAATGTTATCCTTAATAAGTTTGCATCTAAAAAAATTGGTATAAATTATTTTTGGTATAGTAATTTTTGTGTTTGTTTTGTATGTGAAGATTTTTAAGAAATGATTTTATTGATGATAGATTATAGCGTTAGAGTTATTTGAAAAGTTATAATAATTTTTAAAAAATGTTGATTTAAAATATGTTTATATTTTTTTGTGAAATTCATGATATTTTTTGTTGAAGGGTTACAAAATTCTAAGGTGTATGATGTGAATAAGTTACTTAGAAATCATGACAACATGTACAAGCAGTGTTTTGTCATTTGATTTGTATTAGTTATTATGAAGTAATTGAAATTGAACGAATATCCGAAGTATAGTATCCAAAAATGATAGAAACAATAAATAAGGACAATATCGATTTTTTTCTTATTAATCAAGAGAAAAAAATTATATTATGAAAATACTAGTTATAAATTGAAATTGATTTTTTTTTACTAATAGATGAACCAAATTAAAATAACTAATTAATGAATGAAAAGTTAATTAAGATTTTTTTTCATACATTCTTTTTTCCTATTTATATGCAATAGCAGTCATATTTTATCCACTAACATGAGTTAATAGTTAAAATTGCAGAGATATTAAATGAGAGTATTTTTTTTATAAATTTACCATTTTGTAAGTAATACTAAATGTTTCTTAAACACATTATGGAATAACCTTAAATATTATAGTTTAGGTTTTTAAAACTTAATATTATTTTAATTAATCCATCAAATTCATATACAGTTAAGAACATTGAATAATTATTATCTTTCAAGATACTTTATTTTGAATTTAGTTTCAAATCTTAAAATAATTTATTAAAGAAATACAAGTAGCTACTACTTCAATGTTGATTTTAAGGTAAAACATTAAAATAGTTTTTTAAAAATAGTTTTCATATTTTTTTATTAATAGATAAACCACTATATATTATTATTAAAACATTTGTTGTTTGGGATTGAATTTGTGTGAATCTGAAAATGAATTTATTGAGATTTTTTAGATCTCAGAAGAAGGTTGAACCAAAGTGAATAAGAAAACTAGTGTAAATCTGGAAAATAAATTGTTTTTAGAGGATATAAATCACTTTTATTACTTAATTTTGATTCATTCTCAATCAAATTAATTTAAATAATCTTAATTTTGATTATGATCCAAACTTATAAAACAAAAGTGCAACTTTGATTAGGTACATAACTTATGTTAATCAAAGGAACATATTAATTCAATCAATAATCAAAATAATTATATTTTCGTTCGATGATTTAAAATAATTTCATTTTATTATTAAGTTTTTAGAATTGCTCTAGTATTATAGTTAATTGGCCTCATTTTGAAGAGTTTACGTAAAATACTATTTTAAAATGAAAAATTAGGAATTTAAATTAAAAAAAAAACATAATTTAATTACAATCCTATTTATAACCTCTTTAGATATATATATGTTTTAAAAAAAGTATTTTAACAAACTAATCAAGAAATTTCTTAAAATACATTTAAAATCTCATGAAAGTCATAAACCATTTTCATAATTTTATTTAAATTTTTTTATAATTAATTTCGTCTAAATATCTCTTTTATAAAAGTTTATTAATACCAAATAATATAAATTCGTAAGACTAGTGACTGATATACAACTGGAAGAATTGAAATAAAAATTAATAAAATACAAAGAATCAAAATGATAAAATGGGCTATGAGTGGATTTTTTTTTTCTTTTTCCAATGGAGAACTAAAAAATACTAGTTTTTTCAGTACCTAATGATATGACTTGTGCATGTGGAAGGTGGTCGAAAAGGAATATATATGTCTACGTTGCTAGATACTTAATTTTGAATTGCAGTGGTATGGATCATGATCAAAGCCATTCACTTCAGTCTCCTAATTTCTTTGTTGTGTGGTATGGGTTGATATAAGAGCAAGCAAAGCCAAAATTTCACTCAATTGCAAGCGTGCTATTCATCTTCCTTTACGTGACCTTGACTAGAACAAAAGAGGTGAAAGAAAACTGCTGTATAACAGTATCAGTCACAGCCATTATATGTAGAAGAGTTTGATCTTCTGAAGAGATTTTTTATTTTTTATTTGTTTTTTAGGGTTGGCTTCAGAGACCCTGAAGTCAGAAACCGAAGACACCTTAAGATAATAGCCACAAGAGGAATGTTGACCAGGCAGTGAGTGCTATGGCTGCAGCACTATATGTCCACAGGAGGATGACTGAACACTCTTCATTTCCTACATCAAACAGCTGAGCCATGGTACCTGCATAATAATTGCATTGAATTTTGTCAATGAGGAATTTAAGGCTAATGAAAGATCAAGTAAAGGTACTTCAATTAAAACATGTGCATGGAATGGAATCTCTCACTTACTGATATTCATAGCCGGTGGCATGGCATACTGCATAACCAGCACATACTGAAACAAAGGATCAACTGGGAGTAAGCCAAAATTTGCTGCTAGTCTTACAATGATCAATCCAATCAAAGGTAGTAGGAAAAGTCGGCCTATGATGATGCTGATGAGGGTCAATGGTTTGACGCTTGATGATTTCAGGCCTGAATTTGCGAGACAAAGATAGCTAAGTCATTTTTTGGACCATGAAATTGGTAAAAGAGTATGTTATGATTTCTATGGCATCTAGTTTTTCATACCTTGAGTGAGGTTACCACCAAGCAAAAGGGTGATGCAAGGAATGGTCCCATTCCTGAAAAGCAATGAGGTCAATCAGATAACAATGTGGTTGGAAAAGAAATTGGCAATGCAGTGGTTAAATGAGCAAAGTCACATACCCAAGTAATTGAAGTGTGTCCTGGATGACACGCAATGGAGCATTTTCACCGATTAGTAGGCTCCTTAGCCATTCAACCGCGCCAAAGAGGAAACCAAAAAACTGATCATGCAATAAGAAAGTAGGTGAATGTCAAATGACATTGAAGTAGTACAGACTAGAGACTAAAAACCCAGAAACAAATCTAACAAAGCAAACAAAAAGAAAACAGAAAAAAGAAGGAACTCACTGTTGCAATTGCTGGTGGTGACATAAGTTCTGCCAGAAAATGACGCATAACTTCAACGATTCTATGCCAAAACGATTCGCTCTTCTTTGATACATTGGACTGATCTTGGTCTACAGCCTGAGAATTCACATCCCTTTTAAGTCACTAGATGTATTCGAGGATGTTTGATATAGATATGGCTGTGTATGCTTTGAGCAGGTAAAAAACAAGAATACGATATATATACTTATTGTTAATTTTTACTTGATTTACTGTGTGGATAATCACTTCATCATAGTGATGTCATGTAAATGTAAACTAATTTTCATTTTCAAAACCTTCCTCCTCACTGAAACAAATAGCCATAGTGTAGTTAGTGCATGGGTTGTTGGTCTTACAATTTGGTTTTCACTGTCACCAATATAGGTCGATGTGGGCACTTCTCTCGTGTTTTGGCTATCACTATCCTTGAGAAGGAGACTTTCTGCAGTAGCATCAAATTCTTTGTTGGGAACCTTCATTATCTCAGCAGCCTCGAGGGCCTTATGTTTCAAGCATCTGCTTTTCATCGTGTGTAAAGTGTAGGTCCAGATGAAGATGCCACCAAGCTACAATTAATAAAACAAGAGGAGATAATAAGATACACAACACAATATGCTATAAGAATTTTTCTAAATGAAAAGTAAAGGCCTTACCGCCATAGAGAAAGATGCATAAGAGAGTGCATTATTGCGGCAAACATCACGTGCACCAAATGGGCCTCCGTTCTCATCACAGATAGCAGGGATGATTACAATAGGAAGGTTACCCATATTTCCTGATCAAAGAAGCATTCATGAAACAATAACATTTTAGGTGAAGGTTTTGTAATCAAATTATTAAGACACGGCTTCGAGGGAGTGAGCATTGAAGTATTGGGGGATGGTGGCAGAAATTTTACGATGTATTAAGACATGCATCCATGTCTAAATACATAGTCAATTTGACACCTTCAGCTTCTCCACTCCTTCAAATTTTACTCTTGCTGAGCATGCTATAGTTTTATGCCACGATACCTGATGAACATGAAGCAATAATAAGAGCCTCCACTTTCAAATTAGGCTTCAGTAATTTCACAAATATCATTCCTATAATTGCTCCAATTAAGAAGGTAAGTCCAACGTTAACGGGCATAAACCACCTGCATAGAAAGAAGGTAAGTCCAACACAATCAATTAATACAAAAAGAACCCCCTACTTATACTCACTCTCAATCATCAAACATGCATAAAAAAACCCATCAGTACTATTATCAGTGTCAAAAATATGTAACAAAATTGAGGTCTGTGTTGCAATTAACGAAGCTTATGGCTCCGTCAGTGCCAATGAGTGACATTACTCATCTCCTGCCCGTGATTCAAAATTAACACTTGGTTTAAATGTATCACTCTCCACTATTTATAATTTTTTTTACTTCTGTGTCACGTTTGAATTAGAGTAACAAGGAATGAATCAATTCATGGTGTTTTGGTTCATGAAACAAAGGTATTAGCTCAGCTTCTTTGTAAAAATGATGCAGAGTCTAAAACCACGACGAGTTTTGCTTCAGAAATAATGACTTCATTAGGTTATTGTATCCTGAGAGAAATAAACAATGCAAACATGGTCAAATGATCAATATCCCTTTTGAAAATGAGTAATGATTTTTAGTATATTGTTGGCAGAGGCACGAAAGTTATGTGGATTAATGTCATTTCTATAAAAATAAATATAGATGAATAAAAGATTTGACTGAAATCACCCGTCTCTCCCTTTTATAAGAAAATTGGTTCATAAAATTTAGCAATTTCAAAAATAAGTATTATCCAAAAATAAATAAAATAATTATTGAAAGTATAGTTCTTGCATGGTTGACGAAAACTACCTTCGTTCTGAGTAACATTTCTCTAAAAATACACAAATATCATACAAGGTATTTGAGAGTGAAAAACAAATCCATGCGTACCATGATATCATATCTTCAAGTGAAACACTCTTGGCGAAACTAGCAAATACAAGTGAAGGAGTGAATATAATGAAGACAATCTGCAAAACAGGGAAAAGAAAACACAACAAAACAAAGTTTACTATGTTTGATGTAGAACCATGCTGATCCTGTGCTGCATTTGTTGTCTATTAATCATTATATGTTTAATGTGACCTTCATATCTCTTACCTTGTTCAAGGCTTTCCGAATATCCGGGGAAAGAAGATTATCGAAATACTGAGTTGCCATCAAAGCTCCCAATGCACTGATAAGAAGTACTTGAATAATTGGCATAGAAGCCACCTCCAACAGTTCCACAAAACCCATCTTCTTTTGCTGTTCTTCTGCTGATCTACTTCTGTTATTTGCTTAATATTACTCCTATACTCTTTTTTCTTCTAGTTTTATTTTCCCCTATATATATATATATATATATATATATATATATATATATATATATATATATATATATATATATATATATATATATATATTATATAGCATAGAGGAATCATTAGAAGCTAGAACTAGAAAAAGCAAGTAATCAAGCGTGATAGTAGTCAAAAATTAACTAGTGCTTTGAAATGGGGACAGAATGTACAACCAACTAGTGAGTGTCATCTTCAAATATATTTTACTGGACTAACCAGTGAATTTAGTTTTGAAAAGTGTAACCAAGCGTGATTTAAGTTTAAAAGGTATGAAAGGATCATTAGGTGAACTAATACAATGTTTTCTAATTCTTTAATCTTCAAAAATTAATATATATCTGAGTGTAGAAATTAGTGAATTTTCAAATCAACCAGTAATTCCTACAGACAAAGGCAAAGATTATGACAAAATCATCAAATTTGTCGTTGTCCATGTGTTTCTATGTGATGTCATTGCTTTGCTGCTGTGCATCACTGTTTTTGTGAGATCGGAGTAGGTGGTGCAGTGATACATTAGAGGTTGATTTGTGGGACAACAAGATCTCTGAAATCAAATGAAACCTTCTCACATACTCTTATAAATGACAGATACGTCGGGTGTCTCCAACTAGAACGCTTCTTCAACATGCACAAAAAGAAGCTGAGACATAGAATCCTCCCTTATTAGGTTAAAATTATACTTTTACATCAATTATTATATGAATAGAAATTCAATTAAATTTTTGTCAACTTTATTGATTGCATGTGCATCTTTATGACGTGTGTAACATCTTTAATGATTAAAGATGGAAGTTGATTATTGCAATTAGAAAAAGAAGATAATTCTAGATTTTTAATAGAGTTTAATGTTTTGGGTAAATAAATTTTTATTTTTTTTGGAAACTTTGTTGTCACTTAAATGAATTCCCAGATCCTACCTCCCCTGAGTTTGTTCCATGTTTGGCCCTCCCTTCAAATTCTAGCCCCACTGCTTTTGTTTTGTCCTTTTGTTTGAATTATTGTTTCAAAAAGTGAATGATTGGTGGCAACAAATGCTTTTGGTATTTTGATGAAAGAAAAAGGAAGTTAGAGTGGAGAAATAAAAAAATATTAATATAATAAATAATATAATAAAATTAAATTAAATAAATATATAAATATACTGGTAACTATTTCCAATAAAAGCTCAACAAGTTGATAAAAAAATATATTTTGATTAGTAATTATGATATGCTTTATGAAAAAAAGTTCATATCATTATTATATATTTAATACATCTTTTTATAACATAACATTGAATGATATTTTAATTCTTGTAAGTTAAAAAACTTAAATATATATATATATATATATATATATATATATATATATTTATAAAATTAATCAAGATGATAAACACATGATAGGAGATATTTTAAATAAAAACTTGAATACATGTAAGGTAACTAAGATTATAATTAAATAATTTTTCTTTAAAAAAAATGGACTTATGAATAGTGCATTATTTAAACTACGTGTTTTTAAAAAAAATTTATAAGGTATTAATATATTTGTTTGAATTAAAATAAAAGTGAAAAAATAAAATAACAGAATATGTGAAAAGGTAAAAGATAAATAAAATAGAAATGAATAATAAGTAGGATAAGTTTATTTATTATTAATAATTTTATTATTATTATTTTTAGTTATTATAATAATAACAATTATTAAAAAATACACCTTAGTTATGTTTTATAATATTTAATTAATTATATGTTTTACATAATACATTTTATTTAGCATATATATGTGAAACTCCTTCTTTCTCTTTATATATATATATATATATATATATATATATATATATATGGTGTAAAATACATCTAAAAATGGATCCAATGGTTTAGAAGCAACAAACAGATTTTGTTTGAATAAACAAGTGTTTTTAGAGACCAACTATTTTTGTATCTATAAAGTTGTGCTATAACTCTATTATTGGTGCAACAAATAAATAATAATATATATATATATATATATATATATATATATTATAACACGCATTTCAATAGGATAAGAAAGATAGATAAAAAAATAAATAAATAATTATATAAATATATATAACAAGTATTATTTTTCATTTATATATCTCTTGTACAAGTCTTTCATTTTCATTAGGCAATCAAAACCTTCATTTCATTGTGAAAACATAATAATAATAATAATAATAATAATAATAATAATAATAATAATAATAATAATAATAATAATAATAAAGCTTAGTTTCATCTTAGGTAGATGAGATAATAGATAAAAATAAATTGGTGTCGGTGTGTTTAAAATAAGATAAGATGAAAATAATTTAAAAAATAGGAGAGTATTAATATATTATTTTTATAAATATCTCTCTTTTCAGTTTATTTATTCATTTTTAATTAAATATTTTAAAATCCAATTATATTTTTCACATATTTTTATTTATCAGATTTAGATAAACAAAATATTTTCAATGTTGTTGTTTTTAATTATAGAATTAGAGTTTTAATGATTTCAAGACAATTTAATAAAAAATTGCATAAATATCAACATGAATAAACTAAATAAGACTTAATTCATATATCTAAAAAAAAAAAAATCAACCGTACTAAACTACAAACAGTACCTAAAATTTATTCTATATACAGACATTTTGTATGTACTGACCCAAGAATGTAGATAGGCACAAACACCAAAAATGTAGATGGGCACAAGCACGTCCCACGAATAAATATGCAAATACACAAGTTGAAGTACATTCTAAGTGCAGCATCCCCAGATTAAGAACATCTCAGCAGCCAGAAAAGTTTTGTCAGAAAGATATTCACTTTTATGAATAATTATAAAACTTATATGAAAAAGTTAGAAAGCTAAGATTTGAAGTTCAGAAGAGAAATCAAATCAGTTCAGATTCTGAAACACAAATGATTGATACAAATAACAGGAGATATGGAACAATAAAACATTTGAATTGAAGGTGATGCTTTGTGAATGGAAAGTACACCAAAAGAATAATTAGAGAAAGAAGAAATATGAAACCTGAATTACAGAAATGTTCAGCAAAACCAGAGAGTTTGAAAGGAGAGAAGATATTTGCCTCCGAGAACTTTTATGTACATATAAATATAGTGGAAGGGAGAGAAAGAGAGACTGTTCTTTCTCTCTTTCAACTTTGACCAAAATAGAGAAGTGGAGAAGCAACTTCAACTTTATTCTATGCATAATGTATAATTTAGGGGATATTTATCATTTACTCATTGATATATGGGCCATGTGATTTTATTTCAATTGCTATTTTACTCTTTTAGACATTTCATATTTATGTTTACACTTATTTGTTTGTTATATATATATATATATATATATATATATATATATATATAACTATTACTTTAACTAATTAATTATTTTAAAAGTTATCAAATATAGTTAAGAACTTATACTATGTTATTAACATTTTCATTCATTATATGATACATGCTTAGTAATAATTTAAACTATAATATTGATTAAATGTATTTATATAGTACGTTATTAATATTTTTAATTAAAGAATTTGTTAATGTTCATTGTTTTTTTTTAAGGAAGTTTTTTAAAAATTAACCACAATTATAGTTTGTTAATATACTCTTTCCAAAAACTATTTTCAAACATTGAATGCATTTGTTTGTATACACATACTTATTTTTAGAAAAAAAATATTTAACAAATTATACTTGGACATATTTTGATGATAATGATAAATATGATTTTTATAGTACTCAAGTGATTATATATATGTTAACAATTCTTTTTTATTAAATATTGAGGAATTTTTAATGTTTTTAATTAATGTTATTGAGAGCACATAAAAATAATCAAATATTCAATATGTTCAGGCATATAACTTATAAGGCCCAAAAACACTGGAAAAAAAACAATCAATTGACTCTGATGAAAGAAACTATTGACAACATATATCTTCAATCGTTTTAATTATTTATTTATTTCCTTTCTATGAAGATATTAGTACGAATTAGTTATAGGAATATATTAGTGTTCAATTAGTTTAGTTAGAAAAAAATAGTTGTAATATAAACATATAAGTAGACGTAAATGGTTTTTAAAATTGAATTAAACCTACACTAATTTTATAGTAAAGAAATAAAATTAAGCATAACAAAATCATAAATTATTTTATGGGTAATGAAACGGTGGAGGGTTGTTGGAGATGGTCGAAGGTGACAGATAGGGAGAATAAAAAACATGTATGATTAAATCTTAAATCCATGATTGCGAATCACGTGAAATATCATATTATCAATTCACTAATTTATATATTAATTAGGTAATCATAGTACTATTTATTGATAATTTTATTTAATTTAAATTTATTTTAAGAAATAATATGATATTTTGAGTAAAAAAAGTTATTTATAGTTTGTAAAGTTTAAGATTATATTAATTATATATTTATTTCTTAATTATATTCATCAGTACAATAATTAGAAAAATAATAAATTTTAATTAAAAAATTATTTTAATATATATAACTTAAATTTAAACATTATATATTTTGAAAGAAAAGGAGATATGTTTTGTGCATATTGGAGGATATACTCTGGACAACTAATCTCGTGCTTCCACAAACATGGCTATCTCTTGTTTTAATCCAAAACCAACTCATCCACTTGCGTATTTGACGCGACTTGCTATTTAAGAAACACAATTAATGTGACAATTACAACATTCAGCTGCCATTATATTATTTATTAATCGAATTTTATATTTATTTCTAAATCATGAATCACGATCGTCACTGCATGAAATTTAAGAATAAATATTTAATATGACCACGCATGCTGCATCCATCGTCATGGCTTTCATTACAACTATTCTCATCGTCATTATCACTAATTTAACGAA